GGCTCTGACACATCAGGCATCGTGGGTGGTAGCAAAAGGAAGGAGGAGACTCACTCGGCTGTACTTCCCAGGAACAGATTTATTCAGGAGAAAGGTATGAGCACAAGGGTCTGGGCTGGGAGAAATTAGGACCGAAGAGAGCCCCGAGCACCTCTGTGCACTGGGTTTTATCTCAGGGGTGGGCACAGTCCAGAGTCCAATGGGAGCTCACAGAGGGAGGGGTAAGGGGAGGAGGTTACAGTATCAGGGACCAATAGGGATACAAAGAAGGCGGGAACATAACAACCAATAACATGTCAAGGAAGGGATGATGTACATGGAAGGAGCTGGAAGGAGAGGTGGGGTTTACAGTGATAGATGGGGAGATGGGGCAGGGTAAAGGTGATTGACAGGGAACATTCAGGAAAACTGGGAGGGGTTTACATAGCAGACAAATGGAACCAACCAAAGCAGTAAATGGGGGAGAACCAGGAACATACCAAACAGATGAAATACTAACAATTTTAACAGAACTGAATAAACATACAACAACACCATGCTGGGGGGACCAGCTGACAGGCAGGAGGGTAAGCTGGAGGAACAGGCCAGCACGGATGCTGTTGGGCATAGATGGGAACAAAGCTGTGCTGCCTCATAAAAGTGGAGGATGTAGTACAAAGTGTACAGCTCTTTGTCAGCCTCCTCCAGCTGTCTTGTTTGCAGTGCAGATTTACTTGTTAGTTGTGTTTTGTTTAATCTCTCTTTGCAGATAATCTACTGGGCATTGACCAGTGCCAAGGGCAAGGAAGCATCACTCCACAGAACTATGCTTACTTCATCTTTCACTATGTTACTGTTTCCCTTCTTGTCCCTCAGGCCCTCATAAATCTCGTAAAACCCTTTCCAGATTGAAATCCTACTCTTCCCAAGCTGTAACGTGTTTTACAGCATGTATTTTTCTATAGTTATCTTGGTCTCTTGTTGACAGTCTTTAGGTATCAGCTCCTTGGCTGGTAAATATCTTCCTTATTCTTAAATCTATCCACTTGATTTTGTTCAGAGCAATGCATGGGGATAATAAATTGGTCCACAAATGCCTGACACTGCAGGCACTGTTCTTTCTGTCACACCAGCATTTCGTAATACTGAATCCTGGGAATGTCTTGAAGAAGCCATCAGCTTTTTCCCCACTTGCACATCTCCTAGAAGAGATGCAAGCTGCCTAGATTGCTCTAGTAAACACACTCAATGGATGTCCTTCCATAAACAGTGTTCCAATAGTTTAATAGATTTATTCCAGAATATGAAAATAAACAGTTGTTTCAAATGCCAGTTTTAAGACTTGCAAAATGGAACTATGTACATTCATAAGATGAGAGCATAAATCAGCTCAGTAAAACAGCTTTGTAAATATTTATGAGCACAGGGCTCCTCATTTCACACATTTTACTCCTTCTCTGTCCTCATTTTAAGCTTTCACTTGCTTTAGTTTATGGCTGGTAATTTGAACTGAGTACCTGACATTGCTAAATTGCTGTCTGTTTTCCCTGGTACTGCATATACCACAATCCCAGACCTCTAGTGACTGCAGGTGTATGATCTATAGAAAGAAACACATTTGTGTGGAAGGGCATATTCTGAATTCTGATGGACCCACATTGTGTTGTGTGAAGTTTGGCAGGCACCACATTGATGAACTAAAGCACAGCCTGGAGTTTTCTGCTTGAGCTGCCACCCTCGTTTGGCTGTAGGAGAGGCAGGACCCACATTTCCTCTTTGTGTTGGTATCAGAGTGGGGCTGGTTATTCAGAAGGGTGAGGAAAGGAAGATTAAAAAGATGGTTGATAGGATGAAAGATAAAGGTGTGGAATGACAGAGATGTGAAGTGGCTGTGAAAGAACAGTGGCAAAAGAATCAGAGCTGTCAGGATACAGCAGAAACAGTCTAATGGGGCCTACAGAGATGGGTTATCATCTCATGCAAAAATCTTTGTCTCCCTGACACCTTCTCCTGTGGCCATGATCCTTCCCCAGGCATCCTGGCCCTTTGGTGGCACAGAGGAGAGGAAATTACATTTTTACTCCTTCCTTTGGAGCAGTCACAGCAGTCACAGAGGAGAGCAGAAGGATGCAATCATATAGACATTTTCATATCAATTTTTACAAAGGTGTGCATGTGCTCATTATTTCCATTTGTGTCTATGTTAGTGTTGGAATTTCTATTACTCCTCATTAATTCACACCAAAATCTCTGCATTTTCTTCCTATTTCACTAGTATCAGATAGCACCATGTTAATATAACAATCAGAAACAAATTCTAAAAATAAACCTACTGATAATTTCCTAGTGCTTGCTTGACCAGACCCTTGAAGTTCTTGAATGGTCAGTTTGGACTGAGATAAGTGCTATCATTTTTCTTCTCTCTTGTCTGCCAGCTTTTCAGCCTTTTTGAACAGCAACCCACAAGGGGGCTGAGCAGGAGGTGCTTGTGGCAATTCAGGATGGGTTATTCTCACTGAGGAATTGGCTTCTGCTGTTCCATAAGAGGCTTTGGCAGATCAAAAGCTGTTGCTGCTGAGATCCTGCCAGGCATGCTTTCCATGTATTTCTGTATGTCTTCACTAAAACTGTGTAGGATGAGTGGAATAGGGGAATTCGGGTACAAAAACATTTTTCATTATGTTTACACATCCTAATTAGGGATTTATAAGGAAGCCAGATATGCTGCCATTTAAACAATTACTTGTATTTAATTGTGTTTGCATTTTCATTCATGAAATATAACAGAAAAAGATAACTTATTAATCTGCATGCACTTATCAGATGATTTCTGTACATTGTACAAATTTACCTCATTTAATGTCTTAGCATGCATTTAATCATACTTGTGCAGATTTAAGTGTCTTCCTGACTGCAGTGGTATCATTCATTAACAGTTACCCTGAACTCTGATGATCATAGGTTTGGTATAAACACAAAAAAATATTATCTTTGAAAAGTAGATTTTGGAAAGTTTATTGGTGATTCTTCCTGAAGTTGCGACTCATTTTGTATTCTTAGACACTGCTGGTATACTTGAGGAAATAAAATGCTCTTTGATCAAGTAGGATGTTTGTCTTTGGTGAGTTGTGCTTAAGGCTTTTGTTCTTTCATTTGCATAGTCTGGAGTCACTGTCATTCCCCAGGGATCAGTGCTGGGTCCATTCTGATTCAGCTTGTTTTTCAGTGGCATAGGAGGCACCCGCAGCCGGTTTGCTGATGGCACCAAACTGGGGGAGTGGCCGATACACCTGGAGGCTCTGCTGCCACTCAGCAGGACCTCAGTAGGCTGGAGAATTGGCCAGAGAGAAACCTGGTGAGGTCCAACAAGGGCAAGTGCAGGGTCCTGCACCTGGGGAGGAATGACCCCAAGTGCCTGCACAGCCTGGGGACTGACCCACTGGAGAGCAGCTCTGCGGAGAAGGACTGGGGGTACCGGTGGGTGACAAGTTGTCCATGGGCCAGCAGTGCCCTTATGGCCAGGAGGGCCACGGGTGTCCTGGCATGCATCAGGAGCAGTGTGGCCAGCAGATGGAGGGAGATGATCCTGCCCCTCTATTCAGCCCTGGTGCAGCCACTTATGGAATACTGTGTCCAGTTCTGGGCTCCTCAGCACAAGAAAGACAAGGAGCTACTGGAGAGGGTCCAATAGAAGCCACAAGAACAATGTGGGGTCTGGAGCATCTCTTATGAGGAGAGACTGTGAGAGCTGGGCCTGTTCAGTCTGGAGAAGACTGAGAAGGATCTCATTAATGCATTTAAACCTCTCAAAGGAGAGTGCCAAGAGCGTGGTGCCAAACTCCTTTCAGTGGTGCCCAGTGAGAGGGCACTGGCCATAGAATAAAACATGAGGAAGAACTTCTTTCCACTGAAGCTGGCAGAGCACTGGAACAGGCCACCCAAGGAAGTCATAGATTCTCCGTCTGGAGACACTCAAAATCCACCTGGATGAGTTCCCTTGTTACCTGCTCTAGGTGACCCTGCCTTGACAGGAGGGTTGTACTGGGTGATCTCCAGCATCTCTTCCAACCCTAACTATTCTGTGATTCTGGGATAGTTAGTCCAAAATATATATAAGGTCTTTCATAAGTAACTTAACTTCCAAGTGTGTCCCTTTACCTCATGTTTCCTGATGGCCAGTTCCAGGCAAGTTACATCCATGGCTTTCTGCAGCTCCCAAGTTGCTTTTTCAAGATAGCATGATCTGCACATCCAGAACATAGGGCTGGGGTGCAAATCCACATATGATGAGCCAAGGGCCAGTGGAATTTAAAAATGTGGAGCAGCCACCATGAACATTTCAAGAGCATCTTGAGAGCAATTAATGATGATACCACTCTCCATGTACTTCCTCGAAAAAAGAAAGCATCGTTCTGGTTTTTTTTAAATAGAACCTCTGCTTCTGTGAACTTAATTAAGGACAGGAATGTTTCCTCATACTAGCAGGTACCTTGTGTAGATGAACAAGACAAGTCTGAGATGTTTCCTTTAATGTGCAGAACCTGCTCTGTTTATGCAACAGGGAGCAGCATCAAACCCTCAGAAGCAGTGGTAATGACACTTGCATACCTGCTTTCACTGCAGTCCCACTCCTTCATCTTGGACAGTCCAGGACTGGGTTCCCTGATGAAGCTTCCTCTTAAAATTATGCCTCTCCAGAGACCTGAGATTGTCAAGGACCTCTGTTTGCAACACTAAGTACAGTAAATGCTATTGTATTATCCAAGAGTAGCAAATTAAATAATCCTGCTCCTGTCACTTTCTAACAGGATAATGTTAAAGGCATTCCTCTGGGATGGAGAGTAATAATTTGCTAATTCCCCTCAGTATTTCATGCTTCTCAGTATTGCGGCTAATTTTCTCTGAGTATCTTATTAACATTCACAATGACTTTGCAGTCCCACCCTAATAGCTCTCCGCAGAGGCAGTGACTGTGAAGGTGAGAGCTGACAGTGACACATTTTCCTCCTGTTTCTCTACAGCCTATATTACCCTGGTTTCCATCCACTGAGAGCTGTCCAGCTGATGCGAGTGGGCAAACTGCAGTACAGTCAAGGCATGTTTCCTCAGGCACTGGAAACCTTGAAACAGGTCAGTATGGTGAAATAGTTTTTCTCCATCCTCCTCCCTTGCTTCCCACAAAACTGCTGTGTGACTCCCCCCTCATGCCTTTGGATACTCCTCACCACTTCTTCCATCAGTGGTGTTTCCCCAGGCTGCAGCTGGGTGTGGTGATGGGTCACTCTTGCCCAGCACAGCATTTCAGGCACTGACATTCTCCAGCATCAGTCACAGCTAATTATAGTTTGATAGCTCAGAGGTGCCTGGATGAAAAATTACTGTTAGATCTGAAGAGATAAAATTATCTCAGTACTTCATATGTTCCTTATTCCCATAACAAAATAATTCTGAGAACACTGAAAGCATAGGGCCAGGAGGAGAGCTGCAGTTTCTACCCTCCTTATTCCCTATCAGGCTCTTTGATTTCAGGCTGGAAAACTTGGTCTTTTATGTGTGTATTTTATTCTGAGCCACAATGAAATCAACAGGCATGTTTCTTGATCCCTCGTATTTCTTATCATTCATCATCTTTGATCTGGTCTTGCAGCTATGCTTTGTTAGTTACATTTCAGCTTTAAGTCATCCCTCTTGTACCTGAGCTGACTTTTATATTCATTTCCTTGTACCTCAGGCTCTTATTTGTCCTACTGTTATATTGCTGATAGTATAATCTTAAATATATTAAATAATCCCTTTCCATGTGCAACATGTCCTCAGGATGCAGAATCTTGCATCCCATCTCAAGCCCTCAATCACTCCTGGGGTGCTTTGCTCCCCCTGGAAGATGCGCTGCCTCTGGTTTTCCTCAAAAAGGTTTTATTCTCTTATGTTACTGATTGTCCAGTGATCAGCTTGCCCTGAGGACACTACATGCTCCATGTGGTTCCCTGTCTCCACTCACCTCCAGTTCCTGACACAGCTCCTTGTTGCCTTTGACGTGTGCTGCCAAAAGCCACCTGGCCCAGCTACTTGCCTGGGCAGGAGCAGGCCCAGTTTCTGGCACCAGTGTTGGAAAGAAGTGAAGAATTTGGCTCTACATTCCCTTTGATTAATGTCCATGCTATATGAAGTGATTTGTGGCAAAAAGTTAGGGCAGCTGCTTGGGATAGAAGGGGATGGGTGTCTCCACTGCAGGTGGGGAGAAGTGCTTTTCCACTCCTGACCAGGTCTCCTATAAAGATAATATCAGAATTACTCTCTAGGTATTAGTATTTTATACTTAACCTTTTCTTCAACCCTGATATCTCTTTGGTTTTAATATCTTATTAATCTTTTACATGATTTATGATGCAAGCTGAATTACTGATAATTTTCATATGTTGAAGTAATAAATTAGTGTTTAATATGATGCCACTCTTGCTAAGTCTTGGTAAAACTTATATCTTCACTTTATATATTTTACTTAAATTATAGCCAATTCCAATCATTATAAAGCAGACAGAAGAGTAATAAATTCTATTTTTATGCATTATTCAGAAGTATGTCATATATCTGTCATGTGCCAGGTAATCCCTCTGCTCTTTCCCCCAAAATATCTATAATTTCCAGACATTCAGACTTTCCCTTTTAGCAGCGGAATGAGACTCCAGTCAGAGGAGCTTCTGTTTTCATTGACACTGCTACAATTTTATCAACAGGCATTGTTCTAATTGCATTTCTAATGTGGTACTGCATTAGATTAAACTGGAGTGAATTCCCCTAGAGACAAATCTAGTCAGTGCTTCACTGCTAGTCAGTGAAGGTGGACATTGCAATGGGGATTTATACGTTCTTGCTGAAGAAGCTGCCCATTACAAGCCAGATTGCAATGATCTATGATCCTTTGGAAACTGAGCAATGCCTAACACAGAAACCTTTTCCAGGCTTGACCTCCTCGTTCTCTGCAAAGGGACATTAAGGTGCTGCTTGCCCTTCTGCATCATACTTCAGTGAGTCTCTAGGAGAGGCTCCAAGCCTTGCTCCACAAGGGCACAGTAAGTGCTTTACAACTGAGGTGTAGAATCCTGTCATGGCTTTGCCTATTCCCTATCCAGCCTCCCCTTTTTCACCCAAGTGTGGGACAAGGAGAGACTGAGCTCCCACTCCCTGGGAGCACAGCTGAGAGAAGGAAAAGCTTCTTGTCATCCTGTTTCTCCATGTAACTTCTTCAGATGAGCTCTGCAACTGATTCACTTCCTTGCTGTCTACACCGGAACAAATTAGAGGAAGATGTAATTCCCAGTTTGTTGTGACTAAAGGATGTGATTCCTAATATTACTCAGATAATGTCCTAGAGTTATATGAGAACACAATTTGCCCCTTTGTGATTAGATGTGTCAACAGAGCATGCCACATGCTCAGAGCAGAAACTCGATTACCTTCTCTGCTTCATTACTCTTCTTAATACACTCTGACACTGAATAGCAGCACCCTGTTGGAACCCTCGTCAGACTAATTTCACTGTGGCATTAAGAAGGATATGGAAGGTGCAGAGGAATTGGGATCTGAGTGGAATTCACCTCACATATAAATCCTGTTTAATCAGGCACAGCCTCAGAGCTGCTGGGGATTGACAGCCTCTCTGCAGTAGATACATTCTCTGTTAAGACCAGCAGATCTTCACACTTGGCTCTGCAGCCCAGACCTCACTGTTGCTCTCTGTGCCACAGAAAAATGAATCATGATCATAACCACCTTGCTCTTGGGGCCCTATGGGTTTAGCTCTCTGCCCTGCACACCCAAAAGAAGGCTTACATAATGTGGAGGGCTTTATGTTGCCCACTAGAAAGAAATCACCCCCTAAACTTATATTGGGCCATGCAGAATCTTATTTGCTAGATTTGAAATAGAAGTTTTACAGAGAGGCGATACTCTTCTGGAATAAAAACTGAAGGTAGCCCCTGGTTTATTTTAAAATTTATTTACAAATATATGAAAGACATAATAGAGAACAGATTGAATTATAGATCTGGAAAGCATTTGTCAGCAAAAGACAGGAATTGGAGCCCACTCTAAAAAACAATTTGAAGAGCCTGACATGGCATGGTCATGGGAGTACTTTTGTCCCACATGAGCTGATGGGTACGGCTGTCTTGTCTCATGACCACCTACAACAGGTAATGTACAACTTCCTTTCTTTAGAAATCCCTGTTGTGGAGGCAAAAAGCATAGGAATTGGGGTAAAATCCTTCCCAGGTCTCACAGGATCACTGAAGAAATCACTTCTGTAGGTGTTTGCTTCAAACACTGTGTTGTTTCCCAGCTGTTGTTGATAGTATTCCTGTGCCTGCTTTAATAACTTGTCCCCTTCAATCAACAGACAGAAAACCACAGATACTTCCTCTGAAATACTAGCCCACACTTTGTGCCACTCTGGCACATGGCTAATTGCTCCCTGCTTTCCATGTGACAGAGCTGTGCCATCCTGCATCTGCCAGGGTTCCCCTCAGCCATGGCCATGGGTCCCATCCCCACACAAATCAGGCACAAACACCTGCACTGCTCCTCATTCATGGAGCAGCATGGAGTACCATCAGTACCTCTGATCTAATGGGATTTATGCTCTTAAGGGAGACAGGGTGTGGCCCTGATGACACCGTGGCCTACCTTGTAGCTTTTCATAATCAGACTTGCTCTGTTGAGGGAGACCACGCAGAGCACGTGAAACAGCTCACCTCATCTCTGCTGGGTGAGCTGTGGGATTGAGGAGAGCAGGGAGTGGGCAGAGAGCCCACGTGTTCCTACTTCTGTCCAGTAAAACAATTCCTTGCACTGGAGCTGAAATTATCCCCAGTTTTGCACTGACCTTTACCAAAACAGCTACATAAGCTAATAGCAGTTGAATTTAGGGATTACACAAGTCATGGCTGTTCTAACTTGGATGCAACTGGTTCTGACTTGTACAGCAGTGTGTGAGATGGTACATTGCATAAGAATTATTTATTTCCTCCAAAGAAACAAAAGGATAAAGACTGAATGATTTTGTCTGGCATACTTAGGAAAGAAAAGAAGTGGAAAGAAAATGTTGGGAGGTGGGAGAAAGGCAGAAATGGTAGCATTAACTCAAGATTAAGTTTGATATTAAGGATTAGTGGCTTTTAACGGAGGTATATATATACAGACATCTCTGGCTATGCAACTCAGGGTGTCAGGGTCCAAGTCTATCACTATGAGCCTGACCTCTATCCTGTAGTGGGGCTGAAGATCCAGGTCAGCTGCCTCAGGACTATCACTCAGATGTATCCTGATGTGCAGCTCTTAGCATACATCATTCACAATAAATCAGCTTTCTGGGACAGGGCATGCGAGTGTGCACCATTGTGTCAGGATCCAGGGCCAATTCAGTCGGCCACTTTGCTCTAGAGTGATCCTCTCCCCTCCTAGTTAGCATCAGTGCAGCTGCATGTTTAAAAAAAAAAATTGTATTTCTGATTTTGTTTCACATTTCTTTGCCATTTCTAAAGCGATTAAAGTATTTCCATCGTTCTTTTTAACTGAGTATATTTTTTCATTTAGTAGTAAGTCATTGTGGTAGCTTAAAACATATTTGACTCTTTTTAGAGCTCCTTGCTCACTATGGGTAGTTTTGACTGATATTTCAACTTGTTCTTGCAGTCTCGTGCTGCTTCCCTATTTTAAAAATTAGTGAATTTGAAGCAAAAATAAACTGTGCTGGAATTTCCATATGCTTGCCAGTCTCTATAATTTGGAAATAGGCTTTAATTCATTCCACAAAAATATATATTTATTTTTATCTATCAAATTTAAATGAGGCCACTTCCTCAACAGTTCTTCCCCAAAACATATTTTCTCTTCAATTCAAATCAAATTTAGCTGAATTTTGTCAGCTAACTGGACAAGGAACCTTTTGAAACACAGGCTGCATTTAGTTTTTTGCAATTCTTCAGTTTAGGACTATGAAAAATCTGTGATCTTTCCGCTTGCCTGTACACTACTAGCTCCCTTGTTCTATCTTCAGAAGTGCTGAATCAGCTTCCATCTAGGACTTCCCTCCTTTCAGGATGAATTTAATAGAAGAAGCAGAAATGCCGTATGAAAAGTGATGATCTAAACACGAGCTGGGCAAAGAGCATTGCAGACATGTCAGTGGCAGGAAATCAGCAACACTGCAGGCAATATCAGCAAGACTAAATTAGCCCAGCAGTAGAAGGTGACAAGCACATAGAGAGAATAATCTCTGGGAAATGCAGCAAAGACCTATTTCCCTCCATGCCTTTTCACAGTGAAACTATTAATGTACTCTTTTGTTTGATGGTATGTATAGTTGCTCCAGATAGAGTTAAGGTACTTTATTCCATGGGGTAAGCATTAAATCCATTTCTATTTTTACAGGACTTTCAGGTTCCTAACATCATGAACATCACAATCATCTTTTAAATAGTGTATCAAAACCTTGGGTGTTGTAGTTGACCAATCTTGAGATGGCCTTCATGTCTCAAAAGTGAAGAAGTATCTCTCTCTGATATTCCAAACATCCAGTTGTGCAACATATTTGTGGGTATTAACACCTAAAAATAATGTGTCAGTGCCTCCTTCTTGGTCAGAGATAAATCATTGGGATACCTCATTCCTATTTCAGCCATGTCACAAATTCAAGCCCCCAGGTGCCAGCCACTTGAGGACCAGCATTTATATCCCACCCTGCTCCAGGGCCCAGCCCCTCTGCATGGTCTGCACAATGAGTAACATGTCCCTTTCTGTTCTTTCTTAAAGGCCTATAACATTATGAAGGTGACCCATGGGACAGATCACAGCCTGATGAAAGTCTTGATGGAAATAAAGGAAGAGTGTGATGCCATGATGAGACTACAGTGAGGATAATCTCTAGTCTGGGAAACAAAACATTCAAGGACAGAGAAAACGTTTTTATTTCATTGTGAAGCTTCTCAAAGGTCTTAGTGTCTTTTCTTTAGATCCTATTTGCTTTGCAAAAAGGTTTAGTATTGGTTTTGTTGTGTGGACTGAATTGAGTTGGTGTTTGGCAGAATTCATGTAACTTTCAGATTTTTTGTCATCAATCATCAGTCTTATTGACAATAACTAACAAAAGCTAATTATTTGATTGTAAGTATTGGGAAATACGTACAGAGTCTTCATCAGTTACAAAGTGATCTAATTCCACTGTTATCAGCAGTCAATTTTTAATATCAATTTATGCCAGCAATTAGGAATCTCTTGCCAGACACATTATAAATTAAGACAATATGCTTTTTTCCCTTTGCCTTTCCCTTTGGTATGGTTTCCAAAAGCCTGGTCTAGTGCTCTTTGACATCCAGTAAGTTTCCCAATGAGGAATGAGATTTTCTTCCCTCCCAATAGATATGCAGGGCTTTGTATCTCTTCTTCTTCTTCCATTTCATACCTTAAAATGCATTAAATAAACAATTTTATTAAAAGTGGAAATTGCTTACTCTGCTTTCTCCCCATTTTACCAGTTTCAAGAGCTTCTTACTTCATTACAGTTTTAAAAAGAGATGTTTTGACCTGCAAGCTCAGTGCTGTGGCTTCTAGACCTTTCTCATTCTGTGGGGTTTGAATGTCACATCCCCAAAGAGAGAAGCCCAGAGATCTACATTGTCATCCCTGGGGAAGACAAGGATGTCTTGGAAAGCACAGGCACGCTATTTCCCCATGCTCATCAGCAAAAGACTTGCTCTTGCCAGAGCTGTTGACTTCCACTTTTAACACAGAAACAAATATTAACAAAAGCCAATATTTATGAGGGACATTGAAACTTAAATAATTTAAGGCCTTTGAAAGTATTGCTTCAGGTGTGTCACTCCTCTAACAATTTATTGCTGCTACTCCAGCCATGACTGTTACTTCATTAATCCATCGTTGTTGTAAAGTCAGGCTTTTTTCACACCAGTAACCTGACACTATTAATTATTACAAGATGAGAACACATTTAAAAAGAAAATGAACACTCTGGGCGTAATTTACCGCCACGGCACACGAATGCCAGTGCTGAGGAAGATATCTCCTTCCAAGACGTTTGAATTTGTTCCAGCGTTTGGGGCGTTCGCTTGCCCGGCAGTAATGTGCAAGCAATAACCTCTGAAATGCAGTGCACTGCTGGAGTATGCATCATGGCTTGCTGCCAGAGGCCAGCTCGCATCAGCCACCCAAGAAGTGCTGTAATCCTCACAGAAATTCACTGCTTGGTTGGGTCTTCCTGCTGTTACAAAAAGGAAATTGTCTGGGGGAAAAGGTCAGACCTTTGCATTTATTGGGAGTTCTGACAAAGTACTGATGGACAACCAGTCTTCAAAACCTATTTTCTGGTTTTAAATGGGCACTGCATATCAGAATTTATGTGATTTTTGTGTAAAGATGATGCTTATGTTATTTCATGTTTATATATCTGGTAGTAAGATTTGCAAATGTTGGGGACTTCAGAGTGTAAGGTCAGGTGATGCATTAGTTTGTGCAGCATATCCTGGGATATCCACATCCAGAAGCTCTCATGCATGGAGACTAATCTGAAGGTATGAACTGCAGCACTGTTTGCTGGGGCTTCTGCTACAAGGACACCTCAACAGTCCGAGGTAGGAGCTGGGGGAAAGGCAGAGTCGTCTGCTGTCATATGAGGACAGCCACTTTACAGCAAGCTGAAGCACCTGCCTGTGCTGGGGGCCTTCTCTCCAGCAGTGGTCTTCTCTAAGAAAACACTTAGAGAAAAGGTACAAAGGAAACCATTCAGTGACAGCCTGATGGAAAACAGAGGTGCTGTCGGCTGGGAAGTGTCACAGCAGCAGCTGTGCTGCCACAAGTGCAGAGCTGCTGAAGTCCATCTGCAGCCCAATGCTCAATGCAAGAAACCAAATCAGCCCCAGGATGGTCTGTGGCTCAGGGTCCTGGGGGCCTTGCCTGCCCTGTCTGGCTCTCTCTGGGCTGGTCTGAGGAGGATCCATGGTGTGGGGGCACAACCCACACTTTATATTCATTACTGTTGATGCAAAACTTCTTTCAGCTTGGTCAAGGCAAGAGTCATGTTTTGTGGTTGTTTTCAGTCATTCCAAAATTTGTCAATTTCCCTTGGAGATTTCCATGCACTAACACCACCAGCAGGGCTGCCAGTGCTGCAGGGGAGGTTGATGTGGGCAGATTTTTTTCTCCTGGTGGTACTGCTCCAGTCTATTTTCTGCAGAGAATGCTGCTCTGTGATTGTGGAGGATTTACCCGAATGCATGGTTTGAAAGTGCGGCAGCAAGCAAGGGTGCCAGGGAGGAGGCAACGTTAGATAAGCACTCATTTCAAATCAAATAATGTTATCTTTGCACAGACATCATGTTTCAGTTTTCATGAATAATATCTGTCAAATTTTTCAGGTGCTGGTGTTAGTGGTAAGATAAAGATGCTAAAGTCAGAAAGAAGCAGACTGCAACATTATCTGTAATGCTGGCAGGTTTGCTGCTTGCTTCCCGCAGGTTGGAGGCTTTTCTGGTGCCTTTTGGAAAGCAATAGTTACCTGAATTCGCCTCAAGTTTTAGGAATGCATTTTGACTTACTTGTGTTTTGTCACTCTCCCTTAAATTAGTCCGGGAAAAACAATGTTAGACTGCACTCAGAGGGAACAGAATTGCACTATGTGTTTGGAAGAAAAGCAGTGGCAGAACAGGGAAAAAACCATGGGGAATGATACAGTTTTGCTAAGAATAACTGATTACAGTGGAACAGAACATTTGTTTTAAACAAAAAAAGAAAGCTCCCTGAACTCTGTTATTTCTTTAAGCATGGCATAATTCCCTGTACCCATGCCCCTCAAGGGTGCTGACCTGATGTTGGAAGTAAAAGCTCTCCAGGACTTTGGCAAACAGACTACTATGCAGTGCATAGTAGAAAATAAAAGAAAAGCAGTGAGGGAAAATGCAGCAAACCAGGTTTTTTAGAGCTTTGACCTCTTTGAGTCTATCAATCTGTGTGTGAAGTCTATCATGCATGAGTTTATGCCAAGAAAACTCGCCCACTACTCAGCCTTTTTTCTGCTTCTCATTGTAATCCTCTTCTCTGATAGCTAGGTTTTTAAGTGAGCTTTTCTTAAACTTGTTTTTTTTTTACAGAGCATGTTTTTGAAATACAGAGGCTATTTCCCCACACAGTATATTTGAAGTAGTCCCTGGCCACTGCAAAGCTCTTAATGAGCAGAGTTCCATTTTTCACAGAGGTTGTGCCAATTATGAGGATTTTTTTCCTTGAATCAGAATTAAACCTCCCATAAGACAAGAAGGAGGAGGAAGGTCTTACAATTATGGACATGGAGTTCTGGCATGGCTTCCCTGCTTCATCAGAAATTGTGTCTGACCTTGGGCAAATCAGACAGGGTTAGACATCTGTATTTGGGTTTCCTTATTGCTCATCCTTGGAAAATAAAAAGAAAAAGGGAAAGGGAAAGGGAAAGGGAAAGGGAAAGGGAAAGGGAAAGGGAAAGGGAAAGGGAAAGGGAAAGGGAGAAAGAGAAAGAGAGAGAGAGAAAGAGAAAGAGAAAGAGAAAGAGAAAGAGAAAGAGAAAGAGAAAGAGAAAGAGAAAGAGAAAGAGAAAGAGAAAGAGAAAGAGAAAGAGAAAGAGAAAGAGAAAGAGAGAAACTGGCTATACTTTCAATAAGTGCCTCACATGAACATTTCCAGATTGGTGTCAGAGCTGTAGCAACTCTTCAATGGCCATGTCTGTGTTACAGCCCTGCTGTCGCTGTCTGTGGGTGGCACAGGTGGGAATGGCATCACTGTAGTTGTCATAACTGCAGGTGTAACTCTGTGAGAGTTCCTCCACAGCTGAGTACCAAACATGGGCAGAGAGCTGTGAGCTGCCCCTGTCTACACTGTACCTCCTCCAAATAGACAAAGTTTTGTTTCCACCCATGGAGCTTCAACAACATCTAAAGAACCCTCAGAAAATCCAAAGAGCTTTTGTTCATCTCAGACCAAAGCCAAGCTAGAGTTCCTTTTCTCGTTTCCTCTTTTATTCTTATTCAGATGGCTACTTTTTCTTTCATTTCAATGTACATTTTTCCAAACAAAACTCCTTTCCTTTTTTATGAATTTAATTAGCCTGACAATACGTATGTTATGGCTGTTTTATACAAGGCACCCTATAAGAACATCCAAGTGTGAATTTTCCCTTATGAAAATTCCTGCTTAGGAAAATTGCCCTAAGCAAAAGGAGTGCACCTTACCTGAAAGTCTGTGTCTGCAATTCTTGCTATTTAGCACAGTGGTTTCTGTTTATCCCCACAACAGTGATGTTTAAGCCAGGCCCTTGTTATCCCCAGTAATATTTCCTGGGGAAAGCTCAATGTTTTTATTTGCTCTGCACTTCTGATCAACATGGACAAATCAATTCTAACTCCATCACTTTTTAGACTTTTTTGTAGGTTTTAATAAGAACCTTAGAGATTCCCTCCCGCCCATATAAAAGAATAACTCAGGCTTAGTAATTAGGCTTCATACAGTCACTGCTCACAGCGAGGAACCTAACAGGTTCTTTATAGTTCCCAGGAGACCAATTAACCTTCTTTTAAACATATCTCTATATAGCCACCAAGACAGGCACACACAGAAATGCATACACACAACAAGCTTTTCAGCAGTCTCAGATGCTCCAGTTCCTTGTTAACCAAATTCTGATGGGGCTCATGGCAGGAGGGCAGGGCTGAAGCATCCTGCCCGAGTTTATTTGAACTCAAAGATGACTAAATCAGGACAGACCAGAGTGTCTTCTAATTTCCTTGTCCCCAGGACAGGAGAAAGAGAATAACCACGCAGCCTCTTCTGTGTCTTAAGTTCCCCTCCATCTCTTGGGGTGGGGCAGGCGCCACTTGTTTGTCCCATTACCTGCTCCCTAAGGCAGCAGCTAAGGAGCCTGCTCTCCCCTCTCTGTTTTCAGCTGACGATCTAGGAGGGCTGACAAGAATAGAAAAGAGCAGTGATTTCTTCCTCCGCCCCTCCAATTCAGCAGCTCTGATTCCCAGTCCCAGAGGCTCCAAATAGGAAGGTGGCAAATTTACATACGTCTTGAAGGAAAACTGCACTTTAAATCACAGGTGATCCCTCTTGACAATTCCACTTGACTTTCAGAGCAGGAGACAGGAGACAGTAATAGAGAGGGGTGTCTGATGAGAAAATTAGAAGAGCACCACTCTTCCCATCCCCCAGATCCTGAGCAGCTCTTACCTATTTACTTTTAATGAAGCTCCTTTTAATTAAGTATTTCTCACGCTGTCTTCCTGTTCCTGTCTCTCCTTGTGGTGCTGAGAATCCCATGATAGAACAGGTAGAGAAGATGTCTGGCCTGATCCTGCCTGTTCTGTCCCTTGGAGACACCCAGATGGTGTGTCCCAAAGCCCTGGAGCTGCCATCCCTCCCACCAGCAGCAGCACACCGCAGGAGCC